GTTGTTCTCCAACTGAGTTCCCCTATTTTAACCAAGATGTTAGCTTCGGTTTTGTAAGTAAGCTTGAATGGAGTTTAAACAATTATTGAATAAAGTGTAGTTTGATATCCCTTGAGTATGTGTGAGAGTTCTTCAACCTTATTCATCTTAGAGCCCAAAAGTATTCTCTACATTCCTCTCATTAGAACCTGGTTGTCGACCTCTGCTTACTTGTTCGTTTGAGGGTTCTCTACCAATGTAAAGTAATGTTTGATTCTTTTATTCGATGAATTGTGTTCCATTATTAGTAATAATGAATTATGGGATCTCATACACTTCCATGATACTCCATTTGAAGAAATTCTCGATGTTAGTTGCAGTTATATTTATAATAAACCTTAAACTTAAAACTAAAACTTATTAGGTTTTAGAATCTCTATTTAAGAAAAGCTAAAACTTATTTAAGAAATCAATATCAATATGATAAACCTAATATCACACAACTTTAAGAAAATTAAATCTAAACATGCAATCCTAAATAAAATGTAAAATATATGTGTGTGTGTGTGTGTGTGTGTGTGTGAGTGTGTGTGTGTGTGTGTGTGTGTGTGTGTGTGTGTGTGTGTGTGTGTGTGTGTGTGTGAGAGAGAGAGAGAGAGAGAGAGAGAGTACACTTAATGGTTTCAAAATTCATCCTTGTTTATGCCTACTCCATTCTCTAATAGTTTTCCATTGGAAATTTGTTGTTTTTCCATTATGATTTTGACAATATTACACAGATTCTTATAGTATAAACATAATTCTAGATAATGCTAAAAATAAAGATCTTCAATCTCAATCCTCTTTTACTATACATAGCTTCAGACACTAAATTCCTACATGATATTTACTTGACTTCAACTTCAATTTTCCATCTTTAAGAATGTTGCTCCAAGCTTCCGTTTTGCAACGACCTTTACTCAGTGTTACTGGTTTGTTGAGTCTTGAACTTTCTAGAAATGATAAAAACTTTAACTTTGTTTGTAGCAGTTTCCACACAGCTCTACTGGAGTAATCTTGGAGAGAAGAACCTCCCTATTTTTTCGTGGATTGTCAATCACAGCTACAACACATCACAAAGATTTCATTCCTCTAAGATCATCAAAAATCTTCACACAATGTTAATCATAAAAAATATCCTCCTCACACAGGTCTCACACCCTAAGATGAGAAATTAATCCAAACAACAATGGAAGATACAAGATGTTGAAGATGAAGAGAGAATTCGATTGCATAACTCAAAACAAAATTCAAAACCCTTTTTGAACTTTTGAGAGAAATGTGTGTTATGAGTATTAAATCATAGAGATATCATAAGATGTATTTGGAGAAAAAAGTTATATATGTGTTGGAGATGAGACACAAAAATAAAATAAAATACCCACTTTATTTTAGTCAAAAACAAATAGTAGGAGTCGAATAAGAAGATTGAATTATTTGAATTGAGATATAAGAATAAATAATTTGATTCCATAATTCGAATGAACCCTATTGTGATTTGAGTCATGTGATTTGAGTCAACCAGATATGTGATTTGAATCAACGCTTTTATGATTCAAGTCATGTGATTCAAATTAGGATTACATAACCAAAATCTAAATTTTGCTGCTAGACTTTGATTCAAATCACACATCTTCATGGTTAGAATCAAACCTCTCTTATTCAAGTCATGCTTTACTGTGATTTTAATCAAATTCACAAAAGTAAAATTTTATTCTCTAGAACCATGTTTCGTTCGAGTAATGAAATCCTGTGATTCAAATCAGACTTACATAAGCAAAATCTTGAATTCTCACAATTAGGTCGATTTAAGTCAGTCATTCTTGTGATTCAAAATACACTTCAATGTTTTCAAATTTTGACAAAAATGAAGTGATATTTTAAATCGAGACTTTACATGACTTAAACTATTCTCATATCGTTTTCTTAATCCAAACCTTAAACTATTTTACTAAAAACATATTGCATCGACCTTAATCAAATAGTTCGATTTATGCATATGTAAAAACGATTAAGCACTCAACCCTAGAATACGTAACTATGTGAGAAAACTCAATTACAATAAATAAACCAAAAACTTAAATTGACAAATAAAAAAACATAAGCGAATAAATTTTAGGAGGTAGAGCAACTTCAAGATTGACATATTTAATGAAAAATAACAAAGCCATAAATCATGTTCATATTACTCTAATGTAATTTAATACCATTCATCATGAAAAAATTAAACGATAAAAAAATACTAGTTGTTTTGAGAAGTGTGGTATTTTGGATCGAACTCTAGTGTCGATAATGGTAGTTTCATGGTTTGACAGGAATTGTGCATGTTGTATTCGAAATTTATTCAAGCATTTTTTCAAAATATGTTAGCTTTGTGTTTAAGTTAACATGTCGAATTGGGTCTTGCTTGTAAGTTCAATTGTTAAGTTAACTTGTAGCCTAAGTTAACTTAGCAGTCTATAAATAGACTAATTCTCTCAGGTTGTTGAGAGATGTTAATTGTTGGTATGCACTTCTAATCTTTGAATTCTTATTGAGTAAGTGAATATAAAAACAATTTTAACCAATTATTATTATTATTCTTCCTTCTTCTCTATCTTTTGTAAAACCTAATAGGGTTTCTTGTGTTTGTTCAAGAAATTCAATCATTTTCTCATATTTTGGCTTGTTCTTGACGACATTAATTCACAACAAGAAAAAATATATACCTTTCTAATGAAAATCACTTCATGATTATGCATGGGATGTGAGCAATTTTAAACCAAATTGCATTTGTTTTTGTCCTATATTCTTCAACTAAAACTGGACATTTAATGATTTATAAGATGTGAATATTTCTTTAACAAAATATTTTGCATTATAAAAGCACGCGTTTTTTACACTGGTACAAAAGGCATTATAATAGCATGTGTTCTTTGACGCTGATACAAAAGGGCATGTGTTCTTTGTCACTAATACAAAAAAGCCTAAGTCAGTGTTTATTGACATTAATACACAAAAGCCTAGTTAAAGTGTTCATTGGCACTAAGTTACATAAATATGAAAAGGTGAAATTGTATCAAGTTGCAATTGCTTCAGGCTGACTTGCTCTAGGCTGAGTTGGTGCAGGATGCTTTGCTTCAGGCTGAGATGCTTCAAGCCAACTTGGATCAGGCTGACTTGGTTCAGGTTGAGTGATCTGACTTGGTGCCGAAAGTTTGCAAGTTGCTTTGTTGTGCTCCATCATGTGGCATCTACTGCACTTGATGCCAAAGTTAGCTCTCTTTAGTTGAGTCTCATTCCTTATACTCTTTGATGCATCTCTAGTCCTCTTCTTCTTTGGCCTTCCTGATTACCTTTTGATTGATGGTGGTTGTAATTCAAAATAGCCTTTTTTTCTCCCAGAGTTTCCCCGTTGACTGGATAAATTACAAGTGCATAACATGTCTCATACATTTGTTTTTGTAGCAATCAGACACATAATTTTCAACTATGTTATTACACTTCATTTGATCATAATACCAAAGGCTTTCTATAGTTGGATAACCTAAATCCTTTAACCCACATAATACTTCAAAGTAACTCCAAAAATCAGGCTCAACATCCCAAGTTTCCTCTAAGCCATTATAACCTAATTTCATTAACTCAGCAAACTCACCCCCATAATGAACAATGCATTTAAAACGACTATCCATAACCTAGATATAGAAACTACATGAGAAATACATCTTACGAAGATGAAAAACCATAAATGAGAAATACAATTAACGAAGCGGAAATAAATACAGTTTGCATTATTCGTACTTTAAAACAGATGATGGACATTGTTCCTCTTTCTCTCAGTAAGAAAAATTCCACAAACCCTAAAATGAAGAAGAACAAAAATGTATTAAACGAAACTGAAGATGAACGAAGTATTAAAAAGAAAGATGAACGAAAATGTATGAAACAAACGAACTTAACAATGGATATTGATTAATATACTTTGACGAACGAAGACGAAGGGTGATGATAACTACGCGAACGAAGATGAGAATGAATGCTAGCTTCGTTAGGGTTTTCTCACAGACACGACTTAAGTGAAGTCAAAATGAAACAAATTGGGTTAAAATGAAACGTTTAAAATTCATAAATATTTTATTTAAAATGTCTTACCTTAAATCCATGTCACCTAGCCACTTTAATAAAAACTAACAAGAAATACACACATTTTAACAAAGGATGATATTGACTAGCAAAATTACAATTAAGGAAACTAAACCTAACGTTTATTACATAAGGGATTGAACTAAAAATTGAAATTAAATTAAGGAACCAAAAGATGCATTAAGGCATTTTAAGAATCTCACATCGAACAATATATGACATAAACATGTGTTTATAAGTGGAAAAAATCTTCACTCTATCCAACCGATTTTGTAGAGTTGAATTAGACCCAACCACATTTTTTAATATGGTATCAAGAGTCTCGTTTAAAATCCAATGAACCACCTACTATGATTTCTCCTATCGGACCACCCACCATTTAATTACACGCTTCAAATGTCTAATCCTAAGCATGAGAGATTGTATTAAGAGTCTCACATCGAACAATATATGACTTGAACGTGTCTTTATAAGTGGAGGGCAATTCTCACCTTACCAACCGATTTTGTAAGATTGAGTTAAACCCTATCACATTTCTTAACAAGCCAAAATAAAACTTATCCAGTCTTCCAAATTATGATTGAAACAAATAAATAATAATGTTGATATGATTTAATTCAATTCGGCGTATTTTCTATAGTATAAGAGTTTAGATATAGTAATTTGGACTGTCATCTTTTTTTTTTGGACTGTCATCTTTTTTTTTGGACTGTCATCTTTTGAACACCACAAAAATTAACAAGTAATTAGATACAGTAAAAAGTAGATATAATTACGAGAGTTCGCACTAATTAAATAGGAAACAATAATAGTAATCTGAGGAAAATTTTACATAAAAGTCATAGGACACACTAATCCTATTGAACAACTAATCTCTGTAAATGATCCAGGAAGACCTCGAAGCTAACATCATCCGTAAAGATAATATCACCTCCTGGGAGGGAAGCTTCAGTGTTATATGTTGCAGAAGGATTTAACTTGGCTAGTAGAAATCGAGCCTGCACATTGTACATGAATGCCAAACATGTCACATGCCAAAATAGTTAAATGGTCAAATACACCTTAAACAAAAAAATACTAGTATCAAACAAGAGTTCAAAGTATATGAATGTAACCTGAGATCCATGCTGATCACAAACAACCAGTCGAGGCACAGGAAATCTATCTTTCATTATTAAATCTGAATCATCATGAGGAGCTCGTAGCAACTGAGCAAATGCCTGCAAAATATTTGACTCAAATTAACTAAATTGCCAATGTGAAGATAAGATCATTACTCATTAGCAATGTTGTTAATAGCAGATGGCCATGGCTATGGCATGTATGTCCCAATTAAGACCTTAATTATGCCCCCAAATAGTGAAATGCTTTAAGTTATAAGGGCTTTCAGACATGTCAGTGCTTTAGAAGTTCAAAATTTGCATAATTTTGTGAAAGTTTTCCCACAAGCATAAAAACATGCTCTGATACTGATTTTACCTTAACATTGAATGCATTAATGTTTTATTCTCTTGATTTTGATTCTATCATTCTTACCAGGATGCATTCATCCCACAAATCCCAAACAAATCTAAGCAAACAAATCAGTCATAGAAACTAATACAAGGCCCAATAAACTGAAATCTGGTGCCCAGCTTCAGCCTAGGGTCAGTAACATTTAGTAAAACCTTGTAGAAGCTGCAAACACATCCCTATTTTGAAATATAAACTTAAGCATAGGCAACTTATCCAACCAAATCTTGAGTCATAATGATCAAGTAAAGCCCATAAATTACTACAATTTGTCCCAACAATGAAACTGCCAAAATATTAAAACGGTTTCCCCTCTCCTTATATACTTTCGCACTGCTATATTGTCCCAGTCAACTGGATACTCTTGTTCTCCCACAGAAAAACTCTGATAAAAATTAACTAGCAGACACGATATTAAATTAGCAATTAGCTGTCCAAGGAATACCTGATGCTCTGGCTCATTATGATATCCAGCCTTGCGCCATTGGGCAATGGTTGAACCATGAAAAATAACAACTGTGAAAAATGCATCTAAAAGAAGAACCCTGTCAGCCGCAATGGCTGCGACATCGAGAAGAGCAGGTTCAGGACCAGAATGAAACGAATATGAAATTAATGAAGGCTGAACCATGACAACAGAATTAGTAACATTTTCCCGATTTAGAATCATTCTAAAGTAAGCAGTCTCATCAGGGCTGTTGTTGAAGACCTGCAATAATATAAATAACTTCAAAAAAAGTAAACACTGTTGAAGCATAAATGTAGCAGCAAGAAATATCATCAATGACAAATATTATTCGAGATCTGAAAACACAAAATGCATACCTGAACAAACTGAGAACGTCTTAAGTGAAACATAAATTGTGGGAATATTGACAACCTGGGAGATAAACTAAATGAAGATGGAGTATCTTTTTGAAAATCTCCGAACCGGGAACACAAATTTATCAATGCCTTATCCAACCATCTGATAGGATCAAATTCAGCCTGATACAGAAGTTACATCATCACAGGGTGTCAAAACAATGACATTTGACATAAGCAGACAGAAAACCATATCAAACTAATCACTGAGAAAGAGAAAAGTAGGTCCACAGTTCCCTCCCACAACTATGGACGTGATGTCATAAATAAACTGGCAAAGAATACTTGTGTCATCGTCCTTGTCAACAATATAATACAATGGTGTAATGGGTTTCGATTCAATGTATTCCTTTATTCTTTTTCATGAATAGAATAAAAAAATGGAAAACCCATCACTATAATATCTCCCATTTCTTATGAAAAATCTCATGCTTCACTGGAATAATCAATTTACAGAACTAGAATCCATAATAATTAAGTAAAGCATGTTAGAGAAATGGTGCAGAAAATGTCCAGCACTCACCTCTGTTTCCATTTTGAATGATACTAATACAATTTCAAAAGGTGCAGAAAATATCCAGCACTCACCTCCGTTTCCATTTTGAATGACACTTGGCGTGCCATGACTATAGCAGCTGCTTCTTGGTCAAATCCAGAAATCAAGTCCTACAAAATTTTACAAATAACTGATATAAAACAATAATGAATTCCGTAAAATGACTTAAATGATGTGGTCAAAGTTACTTGATAAATAATATCATGAAGAATTAAATCACCATAAGCTCTACTGTACAATGTTAGAGAAAAGTCGAAAGATAAGATTCATAACGGTCAATAAGAAATTAGAATAACGACCCCAATAAAACCTTCACTACAATCAGATTATCAGGAATCAATGAAGTTTTAGATACAGAGATTCCAGGTTTTCCAAACATCCCAAGAAAACCAGCTATAAAGTTCCCACAGTTCCCCCATTATAACAAATGCACATCTCCAAGCACAAGTCAACTGAATAACATTTTATCGTTAAGTAATTGTAAAAGCTTATTGAGATAAAACCAGCATTAGTCATTAACTAAACACAACAATTCAGTAAATAAATGAGAAAATTTTAAAAATAAAAAATAAAGGAAATTAAAGAAAAATTGTGTATAGAGTAATCCAAAACAGGCTCTTAAAATTATATCTTCATCAATTGTCCTGATCCAGATGCAAAGGAAGAAATAGAATGGTGGGCAAAGAAAAGTCTTATTTTTGCATTTTAATTCCTTATATATAATTAAAAATGTACTGTATATCATTCTCAAGACCGTTTTTATGATAGCTTTTACAGTATGACATACGCAAAATGAATTTCTTTGCAATATTAATAATGAATGTCAAAATAATTAAATTAAATGAATCAAAGGTGCTAGGTGAAAGATTACCTGTATGCTTCCTGGTCCAGCAACCCATCTACGTGAAAGGGTTGTAACCCGGAATCTCATCTGTCCACTATTATTCTGATAACTGAAGCAAAAAATCTGTGATGAGTGAGAAAGAGAAAAATTTCAACCACATTACCACAACAGACTGGTTACTAAAAGGTGCACTAAGATAGCTTTCATACTAAGTCAAGAATTGGAAGTAAAACTGATTGCTTGTGGATTGCATTGTAGCGTCAGGAGTTTCCTTCCTCGCAATGTCAAAAAACAGACACAGTGATGTCGATTTGTCAAGGCCGCACATCTTCCATGCACTGGTACCCCCTTGACCAATAACAGCATCTGAGCATAATGGGCCTTTCTGCATATACAAAGAAGCAGCTAAACATTGTTTCTATTGGGGGAGGGGGAGCTATAGAGAATTTAACATGTGAAATAGATAAGACAGCTTCTAGAAATACCTTTTCAAGAGAAGCACAAGGTCCAATAATCCCTTGGACTTTGATGTCCTTAGAGCAGTTTATTTCAAATATTCCACTGCACAAAGAAGATAAAATAAGTTTACGTAACAATCAGCTTCTCCCTCAGGTTATTGATTTAATTATGTTCAGTTAGAAAACATGTATTTCTGGTTTGCTGGCTGGAACCAGAAGCCCCAAGGGATGCTTTTGTTTCTGGGTAGAGGAACCTTTCAGATTTGGACAGAAGATACTATGTAATCTCAAACTTTCATTAGTGTATTCATAGCTAGAAATAGTGTTTCTGGATCCAGAAACCACAAAATTACGTGTATTATTCCAGCAACTTTGGTTTGGGTACTCCTAATCTGCCAGTGACTATTTACCGATGTGTTTACTATGGGATACTGCTTAAATTTCAAAATTATTATTCTAAATGGTATCATAAAACTAATGTGATTGTTGACATTATTATTTGATTGTTTTTTGGTTTGTTATCTTATTAAACAGGAGAGAGAATCCTCCGGTAATTAGGAAAACTACCCTACTATAATGGTAGTCGACTAGTTGCCCGGTGTATATGCCGTTAAAATGGTTTCATCTTCTAGAGCACCTTTAGAATGTATAAAAATTAAATGTGGTCAACTTCAAAATCATCTTGTCCCAATTATAGTTTGCCATCTTTCTCTCTTTTCTCCACTCCTTAAACCTAAAACTTGTAGCCTCCACAAGAGTTAAACTTATTTTCCAATTTTACACAATTACACATAGGTACACGAATGTAACTGGTATTGTTTACCAATATAAATGAGGAATGAGGAGTATATTATCTAACAATAATAAATTTGTGCATACAGTAGATTGTCCCCATTAGTCAGGTGGGAATTGTTAGATATATGGACCATGCTGAATATAAATAACAAGAAGGTTGGGAGGGGAGATATTTAGTCATTTGAGAGAAAGATTTGGGTCTTTAGTTAGGCATATGGAGATGCAAACTCTTTAAAGTTTGCAATCTAGTATGCAATCCAGGGAATTCTTCTCTACATCATCTAATAAAATACCAGTTCGTATCAACTGATAATAGAGTTACAACTTTCATTTCCAAGGGTAGGTTAAAGGTGAAATGAAGGATGGAAAGGAGAATTTAAGTAATTGAAAGGCACTAGAGTTCTCAGAGTTTGAGAGAAAACTTTCTTGTAAAGTTGATGAATATGCATTGTTGAGTTACAAGAGATGTTATGATCTACTTGTAGATCTTTAAGGCAGTGGCAGCTAGGAGTGCTAACTTTAACCAGTTAAATCGGATATCCATATCTAAATCCGGCTATAAAAATACGGATAAATATACATAAGTTTTTCAACCGTCCTAGATCTTGTATTTGTTGGATGCCCAGATCCAATATAATGGTTATTGGACCCATAGCAAAAAACAAAACCAAATTTCAACTGATTTTCTTCTTTCTCCCAAATTTCAGCGCCCTCCATCTTTTCTTTACTCATTTCCATTAAACTGATCTTTTTCATCAAACTGCAAATTCAATTATACTAATTTCTTCTCTTTTAACTTTTTCTCACCACAACAACTTCTGATCAAGTCTTCACTTCCCCCAATTTCAACAAAATTTTCAATATCTCCTCCCTAATCAATCACATTCAGACTCTAAAAACCAAAGAAACATTGATAAATGAAGTAATTAGGAATCCTAGACAATGACAAAACTATGACTGATAAGATTGAAGTTGGGGAATTCAACCTAGATTTTGATGCGTCGGTGAACAAGACAGATGTTGATGCTTCCAATTCCAAATTGAAATGGATGTGAAGAAACATAAGCAAGTATACTATAATCAGTTTGGATAATCTAATGAGAAATTGGTAGTGAAGAAGCATGAAAAGTTTGAGAGGCTGTCCTGTTTAGGAGAAACAACTTTACTGCTTGGTTCGTTGGTTCGACAATCTATAAAACCAAGAATGGTTTGTCTTTTCAATAAAATAAAATTTATTAAGCAAAAAAGTTGGCTATAAACTTTTTTATGGATATAACCTGTTAGATTTTATGAAATTATTATCTGACTAAGATGGATGTGTGGCACTGGAGAGGCCATGGACAGCAAAGGACAGTGCCTGAAGAGTCTGAATATTGAGCAGTAAACAAAAGGGGAGCATGGATGTAGGGTTACCTAACACTTAACTACACAAGCAAGAAATTCAAGATAATCCATATATAGAAATATTAAAATATTTGATGACTTACTTTGATGCTAGGCCCAGATCACAATCACCCGATTGGAAAACACGCTTCAGTGAATCCTTGAAAACTGGATGGCCAAAACTTTCAGTAAGTACAACAAGGCCCCCAGTCCTTTCAACAGCAGTTTTAAGCTCAGCAATACCAACCTGAAAGATAAAGAGTAAAGCAGAGATTTTATATTTTCAAATATATTTTAAAAAAACACTAGACAAAGCAAAAACAACCACCAGAATGGCATTACAGACATTTGAAGCTGTTAAGAGTCCCACATCGGACATTATATGGCATGAGCATGTGTTTATAAGTGGGGGTAATCCTCACTCTATCAGCCTCCTCACTCTATCAGCCGGTTTTGTAGGGTTGAATTAGGCCCAACCACATTTTTAAACATGGTATCAGAGTCTGGTTTAAGATCCAGTGGGCCACCTTCTATGGTTTCCGCTATCAGGCCACCCACCATTTATTTTCACGCTTCAATTGTCTAGTTCTGAGCGTGAGAGGGTGTGTTAAGAGTCCCACATCGGATAATATATGGCATGAGCATGTGTTTATAAGTGGGGGTAATCCTCACTCTATCAGCCGGTTTTGTAAGGTTGAGTTAGGCCCAACCACATTTCTAAACATCTTTTAACGAGGCTCTTGAAAGTTAACATACATACCACCTAAAAACTAAAACTTTTGCATAAATAACACAATTTCAATACAAACAAAATCAAGTAGAAAAGTTAACAAATGTTCCACATTTTTTATTTTAATCTCCTTGAAAATTAGCCAAGGATTTCAGACACCATGAACTATAAGTTGGACAATCAAGTTACTAATAGTAGGATGTGTCATTTCGGATTACCAAAAGATATAAAACAACACATAAGCTTCATAAAAAATTATTGAAACAGTTTTTCCCATAAAATTACAAGCAAGGAAGATCAAGAATCCCTTTAATTGATGAAAAGGTTACAAGCAAGGAAGATCAAGAATCCCTTTAATTGATGAAAAGGTTACAAGTAAGGAAGATCAACAATCCCTTTAATTGATGAAAAGGTTTACAAGCAAGGAAGATCAAGAATCACATTAAAACAAAGAAAACAGGTGGAGAAAAAAACATAGTCAAATATAAAAATATTCGTGGAAAAGAAATTGTAACCATTATGCTCAGGTATTTCAAACTGTCTGCTTGCTAACCGGTAACCACTTTCTAATTATAAAATTAGTGAACTGGTTTAAAGGCCGTCTATATGGAATCCCTTTTGTTATTGAGTTGAGAGCATCAATTAGATGGCCTATCCTACATCAGACAATATATGGCCTGACCATATGTTATAAGTGGGACCATATTCCTCATCTAACAAGCCGATTTTGTAAGGTATAATTAGGCCCAACCATAAATGAAAGATGCTATCAGAGCCTCGTTCAAGATCCGTTAGGTCATCTGCTATTGGATCACCTACCATTTATATTCACACACCAAACCTAATAGTGTTGGGTGTGACGAAGTGTGTTAAGAGTCCCACATCTCATAATATATTGGCGCGAACTTATGTTTATAAGCGGGAGAAATTCTCACCTTAAAAGCCGGTTTTGTATGGTTGAATTAGGCCCAACCACAATTCTAAGACATGTGTTATTCTTGCTTAAGGTAAACAATAAGACAAGGGAAAAAAAGGCATTGTGAACAAATGGGAGGCCGAACCTTCTTTTTCTTCTAAAATGAATCACCTTATAAAAATAATGAGGAGAAAGAAGAAGAATGAAGAGAAAGAAGAATAATGAAGAGAAAAAAGAGGGAGTGAGACATGGAGAAATGGGTCAAAATGTTGGAGGAATTAAACAAATGGGGGTGGTGCCTTCTTTTTTCTTCTACGAACAAGGATGTAACCAGCTCAGTTTTTAGCCACTGAGGAGAGTTTGCATGGTACAGTGGTCTTTGAGGGAGAAGGGAATTATGGAAATTACTTCGGTGGCTCCTATAAAAAATTACTCTGTTGGCTCCTATTGAAAGTTGTTCTCAGTTGTAAGTAGAAAATTTACTTGCAATTTTGATTTTTTTTTTTTTTTTTTTGAGAAAAGCATGTTTATTTTACTTTGTTTTTATGTGCCAACACCTACCAACTGAGTTGCAATTTTTTATTCAAATATTTTTCTTTTGAGAAAAGCATGTTTATTTCACTTTGTTTTTATGTGCCAACACCTACATTGTTAGTTTTCTACATTCAACATATAATTTCTGTGCAGGTAATATTTGAAACTGTGGTTGCGATTGATTTTATTTTTATTTATTTGATGTGATGTACTTTGATTTTCAAAATTTGAAGTGATACTGTGAGTGATATAATGGATACCATTTGTTGCAACGAAGAGATAATGCAGTCTACGTGCCAAGTGCTTGTAGTTTCATGGTTAACCATAACAAAAGACCTAGAAAAACCGCGTAAAAAAGCGGGAGAGGAACGGTACACTACTTGTGAGTAACATACCTTGCACACAACTTGTTAAAAAGTGGGGGAGGAATGGTGTACCACACCTATGAGTAACATAACCTAGTACAGAACCTGTAAAAAGTGCAGGGGAGGAACGGTGTACACTACCAAAGAATATAATACCTTAGTACAAAACCTGTAAAAAGAATGGGGGAGGAGCAGGATATCCTTCATCACAACGACGAGATAATGTGGTCTATGTTCATATAGTGAAGGGTGATATGATATGAGATAGAAATAGCTTTAATTATTATTATTATTATTATTATTATTATTATTATTATTATTATTATTATTATTTTAAATTGTAGATGTGTGTAAAACTTCATATATGACTAACGGTTGGTTCATACAAAGAATCTTATAGGAAAGTGTTATCCTTGATGTTGTAAATATTTTTATAAGTATGAATGAGTTTTTAAAGGATGATATTTTTGGTTTAAATTTTAAAAGTCATTTTAAATGCAAATTTATGTAATTTCTAACTCACCGAGTCTTTGGGAGTCAACCCCTTTTTTTAGTTTTAGATTCACATGTTGCATAATGGAATTCTCTTGGCATTTGTATACACACCTCGAAGTTCATTCTTTTTGGTATATACCTTTTTCTATCTTGAATGGTGTCTGCTATTTTAAGACTCCAATATGAATATGATGCAGTTATAGGAATGAGTCATTCTTCCCTTTTGAGTTGCACAAATGAGGAGATAGTTTTTATATACTTTGTTGATAATTATTAGAAATCAAACTAGAGATTCATTGAATGAATAGTTAGTTACAATGACAGACTCAGTTGACCATTTTATACTGATTAAGATAAAGAAAAAAATGAAAGAGAGAGAATAATATTTTTACTAAAGTACCCATTATAAATTATTGAAAATGATGAAAATAGTATTCATTGGAGGGTAGAATTGGAAAAAGTGCATTGGAAATTGAAAAGGGTCTTTCAGTTTAGGACTATTATTTTATAAATGGGTAACTCATTGTGAGACGGAGGGAGTACTTTAGAAGGGTGTATGTGTTATAGTGTATTAAGGCTTGATGGGCTAAATATAAGATTAGTTAGGATTAGTGAGCGCCGTTGATGGCCTGAGATTGGGTCGAGACAGAAGAACAGCAGAAGATGAAAAGATTTTTGGCAGTAAAGGGAGTGTTTCAGAGCCGTTATTTCTTACACTGTTCTGTTGTGTTTATTTGTGGAATACATTGCCTTTCTTTTAATGTTTGGTGTCCCCATCTCCTTGGACCAACTCTTGGTTACTTAATAATAACAATTGGTTACTTAATAATAACATTAGTGATTTCGATGGAAATGAGTAAGTTAGATTACATGCAACGTGTAATTCTTGTTACTATTTGGAGAAGTTGGTATATTCGTATTATGGTTAATAATTTTTAATGTAGCCACTCATATTGAATAAAAAGATACAAGGCCAAGGATGTTAGTAAGTTAGTGAATTTAAGATTAAATATGCATGCAAAATTTCAGCATAAACTACTTTGAAAAACTTAATTATCACAAATTCTTGATTAAACTGGATGTACTCAGAAGATAGACTGTCATCTAAATATTCTGTGCTCGGAAAAAGTTGATAAGTGAAAAGTTCTCTAGATGGAAAGAGGCATTCATTCGCCAGCTTATAAACAAGCATAATGCTGTATACCAGAAAAGATCGGTTGAAAATAGAGAAAACTTTACCTGATCAAGAGCACAAGCAAAGAGATCTAGCACATGACCTTGATGTACAAGCTGCTTCGAAAGCCCATCATAGAATTTCACACATTTATGGTAATGTGGCACAGAATCTTTATCCAGGTCCTTGTGGGAGCGAATTGGTTCAGAAAGTTGTCTGGATACAATCTATAAGATACAATAGTTCGTAAGGACAGAAACACTTGAGTGTCGTCAAGCAATCAAATAGGATGGAAATCATTTATGGCCATGACATTAGTAGAAGTAAATAAAATACCAAAATGCGTGTTTTTAAACCAACAAATACAATTCCTTGTTACAGGCAATCATAAAGTACAGACCAGTCATTATCATACACTAATGCCAAAATGCCAACAGAACAATCTAAAGATCAAAGGAAAAATTACAAGACAGGGTGAGATGGTACTCCAAAAGAAACGGAAAAAGGACAAAGCTGAAGTAGAAAAAACCCGCACAAGAAACCACAAAATTCTCCAAAATCATAAGATGAAATGTAAATAGAGCTAAAACAGCTGCCATCCACTGAAACTAGATAACTTGTCAGAAAATAACTTACAAATGAAAAGGTAGATTCTGATATGTAAATAAAACCTAAAACATTTTTGCCTTAACCTCTAAAACAAAAGCCACAAAACCACCGGTTCTTGCTTACAGACAGCGCATCATATATGTATGCAGTGCATTAAGATGCAGATTCAGAAGGTTATTTTACATGTTACACCACAGACACAGAACATGTCAAATGAAAGCACAAATAGATGTCAAGTAAAATTAGCCTCTGATAGTTGTCAGTAGAATAGGCTAAATAGTCTGATTAGTTTTAAAAAGATATAATCTTTTCATGTTCGTAAGTAATAGAAATTAGAAATACTATCTTGAAGGTTTCCTGCATAACATGTTTGATCCTTTAGTGAAATAGAACTAATTTAAGCAACAAAATACTTTAAGTACATCATGTGTAATTTCAAATTTTTAATTATTTAAGTACTTTCTTGTGAATACTATTTAAAGAATTATACCATGAATAATGATGTATCTTTTCACAATTAATTTGACTATATAGTATGTGTTTAGACTTCAATACATGTGTTCTCCAATGCATTTGAACAAAAGCTATTTGAACAAAAGCTATTTGAACAAAAGCTACTCTGGAGTCTCTACTTCATTAGCTAGACACAAGTAAAGCTACTCTTTGCTTCTATTGGCCAAACACACCGTCAAGTCCAAGGCACTACCAAACCAATTACAATGTCCCTCTGTAAGTAAGAAGAAAACACTTACCGGGGCAGGTCCTTCAGTTGCAGGTCCCCCAATAAATGCCATTATTCTTGCAGCAGAACCAGGAACACAAGCCCCCAATAAACTAGCTGCAATACTCAGTGCCGTGCTTGTGGACCTCGCCTCCCGCTGATCACCCGGTACCGGCCAGGGATCCCTCTGCAGCTCATCTAAAACCTGTAAAAACAAACCAATTCACAACTCAATCTATCAGTACAAGTATTGTCAAATTGCGGATATAGCATGGCAGAATTTGAACAAATCACAATTGTTCCACAAGTGTTTTTAAAAGGCTGCCGTAGAGGCCTGCTATAGCACAGGATTTTGAACAAACAGCTGTTTTCCACAATCCGCCACTGTCTGATCAACACACAACCAAAATTGCTAATGCGGATTAAATAAAGCACATTACCGAATTGAGCGTGAACTCACACTCCGAAGCCGGAAGCAAAAACCGCGAAATACTCTCTAAAGAAAGCCCGTCCCGTGCACCGGCAACAACACCAACTGCCGGCTTCGGTTTCTTCGCAAAGAAACTCATCTGCTCTAATAGCTGATCCTTGGAAAGATCCTTAGAACCTCTAAACACATAGGTTTTAGGAACAATACCAAACCCAAGCTCATGCACATGAACGAACGTCCCAAACGTAATAAGACCGACAAGAGAATTATCCGGTAAAAGCTCAACCGCCTGAGAAATCGCAGATCGGAGGAAACCGATTTCCTCTTCAATAACACACGTATCAACGACGAATAGAAAAACAGGAGGCACGTGCGGAGCGGGATCACTAGGTGAATCATATTCAACGGTAGTGTACTGAGGGAAAAGCTCGGCGGGAAGATTATCATCGGAAATGGAAGCGTAATGAGGCGGAAATTGGTTGCGTTGGAAACAAAAAGGACAGATCCAGATCTTGGCGGCGAAATCGACGATACAGAAAGGATTGAGAATTGAACGGCACGTTCGACATCGGAGTGGAGAATAAGGGAGAACGGGCATGGAAGGGAAGTGTTTAATTGGAGTGTAGATTGCCGCAACTGGAACGACGACGTTTAAGGCTTCCTGTTTTGTGCCGGGGATTACGTTCCACGGCATGCGAACGCCGTCTTGGGTTTCGAGATCGACGAATTCCGCCATTGATTTCGAATCGGAGTAGCTCAGGCGATCTGAGATTTTTTATTTGAAGTTAGAAAACTGAAATGGTTCTGTTATTTTGCGCAGTTAAACTCAGTTCTTAACACTATCATGTTTTTTATATAATTTAAACATTAATCTTTGTCGGTTGAAAATTTATTTTATTTTCTCATTACTCTTTTTCATTAATTCTATTTTAAGTGCTCTATGTTATTTTTCCAACCCTAATCTCGCATGAATTACTAACCCTAATAATAATATTTTTAAACCTAAAATTTGGGAGAATTATGATCGTTTTATAGTATCAAAATATGTTTAATGTCTTGAAGATTATTCAAGTTCAAACAACTTCATGTCTAGGCGATATTAAGGGGACTCGTCCGAAGACAGCCACGACGTGCATATCAGGGAGGCGGGAGTCTTCGTTAATCTCATGGTGGTCAAATAACCTCCCTTACTAAAAAAAGAACGATTAATACCACAAAAAAGGGTAAAAAAAACTTAGGTTCTATAGACCTCTATAAATACATCATCCTTCAAAGAGAAAAGAGGGGTGACAGACTCTAAGTCATACCTATCATCTACTACCTAAGATAGCATCACACTACCTATAAATATAACATATGATTATTTTAACTGTTCGCTTGCAATCAAGTAGCGTCGACCACACCTCGCGTGAGTTGATCCCCTAAACAACCTCAAAAACCATCACACAGAGTTTCTTGTCGCCGTTAACAAGCCCTCACCGTCGAAATGTGTTATACACATATTAAGCCATTTGAGTCTCCCTGCCCTTGTAGAGGAAACACACATATCTATATTTTTGACTAGTATAGTGGCGTCCACTATAGGACTCTGGTAAAAGTAACCTAGGTTACACATTTTCTCGTCACCAACATCATTTCCAATGTGATCCTTCATTCCTCCATTAAGCCATTTTCAAATATGGTCAGTATGAGAGTTATATCTCATACGCCGGAAGGCACCAGCGGTAGAGGTGATGTCGACGCCATGGCAGATATGTATAACGTCATGGACAAACTACGATGCCATGATCGAACGTTGGAAGATGGCGTTCATAACATCAGACAACGCCAAGAAGAGGTCAATCCCTCGAAAGAGGTGAAACTGCTAGATCCACAACCACTCTCAGACGAGATATGTGGGTGTTTTTTTCCTGAGGGTTCTAAACCTCCCTCTTTGGCCAAGTTTGATGGACGAAGCGATCTCTACGAGCACATAGCCTTCATCAACACGCAAATGACCATCATAGGAGCGTCGAACTCTTTGAAATGCAAGTTGTTATCATGAACTTTTAGAGATGTCACATTTAAATGGTACACGGGTCTTCCTTGTGCTTCCATTAATAGCTACTAGGAACTTGTAAGAAAACTGGTACACCAATTCGCCGCCAGTCGCCATAGGAAGATGTCCAGCACCAGCCTGTTTAACATTCACCAAGGTTTGCCGGAATTTTTGAAGGACTACCACACCCGCTTCAACGAAGCAACTATCAGGCTTCTTTCTCCGAACCAAGAAATATTTGTGGGGACATTCCAAAATGAACTTAAGGCGAGACACTTCAATGAGTCATTCGCCCAAAAGTTGGAGCTCACATTGGCCGAGGTGGTCACCAGGGCTGAGTGTTACATCAAAGGCGAGGAGAGCAATGCCGGAAAAAAAGCTCACGATGTCAAGGAGCGCATCCCCAACGTTGAGAGCTTAAACCCTCAGAGGAAAAAAATTACACCTCGCCCTTGAAGGACAAGTCCATGTTCTAAATAGTGGGAAAGGTAGCAGAAAGTTTCACGCCTCTGAATATTCGTCTAGAATAGATTTGGCGCGAAATACTCCATTTGCACAACATCCCAGCATCTCCTACTCCCATGGCCGAGGTGATGGGATCTGAGCTTGGAATGTGGTGCAAGTTTCATAGAGTTAAGGGGCATCATATTAAGGATTGTTCTAGCTCAAGAAGGAAATAGAAAAGTTGATACATGAAGAACACCCCAAGATATACGTGAAGGCTTACCACTTCAACCCGACGGAGAGATATAACTCGTGTGGATGAGATAGTGTTGGAAGCCTTAGATCAAACAAAGACAAAGGAACATCTCATGACGAAGGAACAAAGTGGCGCATCACACACTCAACATCGTACCATGAGGATTCGTCAGAGGCGAGGAAACTAACTACACCCGCAAAATGTATGTCTGCCAAATTATGAACGTAAAAAACCTCCCTGAGGTCAAAAACCCTAGAAGTCGTGATTATCTTCTTGGAGAGGGACACATCTGGCTTTCGTCCTCAATATGAAGACCTTGTGGTCATAGTTGTCAAGTGAAAGGAATGTGATACTAAAAGGGTTGTGGTGGATCAGGTAAGCTTTAGAGACATATTGTATTGAGATGTATTCGAGAGATACTGTCTCGATCCCAAAGGCTTAAAGCCTTTCAAAGGATCATTTTTCAAATTATCAGGAGAACATGTTCAACTAAAGGGATATCTAACCTCGAGAATCATGATTGGAAAACACGACTAAGCCAAAGAAATAAAGGTTAAGTTTCTAGTCATTGACACCCTTTCTTCATATAATATGATTATTGGACGACCATCATTTAACCGTCTGGGAGCCGTTTTATCTACTTTGTATTTATGCATGAAATATCCATTTCACAATGGGCGAGTAAGGGTTGTTCGAGGAGATCAGAAGATCACCATAAAGTGTTATGTAGCGAGCCTCAAGTTAAAGAGGGCGCACTTTTTAGACATGAAAATAAAGAAAGCCAACTTCGGGATAATGCCACCCGAAGAGGCGGGCGAGAGCAAGGAAGTTTCTTATCCAACCTCGCAGGACAATGAAGTTTGAGGTCAGGAAGGAATGTCTTTTTTCTCTTGTAGTTATTGGTGTATTCTTTTCTTTTGTTATTTATTTAAGTTGACAATTTTTTATAGGCTAGTATTAAAACTCTATCGATTCTAAGGACAAGTTATTTGTCAAGGTGCACTATCTTTCCTCTGCGGTTTTTTGAGCCATCTCACCTTTATCTATATATGTTGGTTATTCTATATCTTTTCAGGAAATCCAAACTCATAAAAAAAACCTCCATGGAGGCAATTACATATGTTGGGTGATCAGTGCATTTTAATGTACCTTCCTCTATGTTTAGACTTAGGCATTTCTACCATTTAGTTTATTTAATTTCCTATTTTATAATGTTTTTACAATTTATTTTATTTTAAGCTTTATTTAATTTTCGTTTGTTATTTTTCAGCATTAATAGCTTTTAGTGAAAAATTCATAACTGGAGCTATAGGAATCGGATTGAGGCATTCTACCCGTCGTTGGAAAGCTAAGAAAGAGATCTACAACTTTCATGTTGCACAAAGGAGCTGATTCGGATTTCTTGAGTCTCGAATAATTCGTTGAAGTTTCTGACTTGTGACAATGTAGTTTTCCTTGCGGGCCTAGTTTAGGTTTCTGGCTCAGTTATTTTCTATTTAAAGTTGTTGTTGTGATGCAAAACATGGACCTAGTTTATTTTCCGAATTTTTTTCCTTTGTTTTATAGTTTTCATGGAGAACTAATACCTCCGGGCAAATCCTGCTGTGTACGGTTTCAACACTTTGAGGTTATTATTATGTCAATTTACTCTGATTCCTTTCAATCATTTTCTATGAAGTCATCTGCTTAATTTGATTACAATTGTTTGCTTAATTCAATTGTTGTTCATAGGATAGAATTGGTTAAATTCGATTGTATGCATGTTCCTAAATTTAATTGCGTATTATCGTTTGCTTAATTCGTTAATTCGTCATATTCTTAACCGTTTGCTTAATTCGGTAAACAGGAACATAATTCATTTGATGTTGATAAGCGCTTGTCTGATTAATATCATAATCGAATAGGATTGGTACCGCTTAGGGATTGATGTTATAATAACCGATGATAAGTCGGAACCCGAATCAGTAGGATTAACCGTTTTAGTTTATCTGATAATCACTTTTTTTAATCATTTTTTTTTTCTTATTTTATAAATCAAAACTTAAAACCCCCATAAACATTTTCTTTAGTTGGTTGAAATAATACAAGAATCCTTGTGAGAACGATATTTCGAGTCATTTGTCGCTATATTACATTTTTACAAAAATAACTCGTTTTTGATCCGCGAGCGACCGCGGATCAAATTGGCGCCGTTGCCGGGGATTCTTATTAATTTTAGCCAGATGTAAAATTTTAATTTTAGAGTTTTTGTTTTTTTTGTTTTTTGTTTTTTGTTTTTGTGTGTAAATTTTCAGGGTTGCAGTATAGTGGTAAGCGTTTCAGCCTATCAGGTGAGTTTGTAAGCTATTGTTCCGATTTGCTCCGAATTTTTTCCAGAAAATCAGAAATAAATCGTTTAACAATACTCATTTAGAATAGAATTCTAAAAGATTTTGACCCTGAAAATCGCAAATTAGTTATTTTTCTATTTTATTTTATTTTTTTTCTATTTTCATATTTTCAAAAAAATCCGAAATTTTTTTTATTGACTCATTTTGATTTTATTTGATTTTTAGTTATATTTTTATAATTTTTAGATTTAATTTTATTTGGTTTTCTATTTTTCCATTCTTTTTCTTAACGGGGACATTGTTGGTATTTTTCTAATTGTTGCTGCATTGCCGAATTTGTTCTTTGTTTTATTTTCTTTGTTGATTTTCCTATTAAATTTAATATGACAAATCAAATAACTCTTAGAGAACTTGTTGCCTATGATACGAACTATAATGCTTTATGTATGGAATATCCTGTTGTTAGTGTACCTTTCGAATTGGAATCTGATTTAATATACTTGTTGCCAAGGCTTAATGAACTTGCAGGTGAGGATCTGAATAAGCATATGAATGAATTCCAAATTGTATGCTCTACACCTTCTGAACCTTCATTAGAGGACCTTGTCAAGCAAATGGCTATAAATGATCTTCAGTTTCAGCAACAAACAGATTCAAGTCTTCAGGCT